ACACACACACACACACACACACACACACACACACACACACACACCAAAAAAAAGGCAAAAACTACCCGCTAGTCGTACGCATTACTCGTAAAAATGAAGATATTTCCAGGCCAATTTTAAATCAACTTCCAAACTTTCACCCGTTTCTCAAGCTCCCCGCTCAATTAGGATCTCACAAATTCAAATTCAGCTTTCAAGTACGCCAACATCCCACATACAGTCACGTGCAATTTTCAACCACAAAAACCACTATCTTGGGGACAACAAAAGTTAGGAAGCTGAAACCCTAGGGAATATCCCCTGTACAAAAATCCTTTGTCAACCGATGTTATCAAAAGCTAAATTTTCGTGACATCGAAAAAATAACGGGCGAGAAAAAACTAGAAAGTAAACAACAAAGAAATTCCCCAAATGCAAAGCTTAAGGACCCCAACAGGCATAAACTGCGTGATTTCAAATTAGAGAGTAAGAAAAAATGCAAAAATTCAGTGTCTTCTTTCACCTTGTACTTTGATGAGCTGATTGATGGACGGTGCTGGTTGTACCGGGTAGACCGTATCGTACTGACCATTATCGACAGCGAAAACTTTTGGCGTTGGTATAACATGATTCTCTACAGCAATACCCGATGTGCTGGCTTGCTGCGCAAGGATTGCCTCTTGTAAATGAGACTCCTGCAATGTGCACCCCCAATCAGCATCCCACTGCATCTCAGCGCCAAACTATTACATTTGAAAAATACACTAAAACTCACCAAAATCAGCCAATTCGGCAACCATCTAATGAAATTTATGATAAAACAACTGACCATGGGATGCAAGGTCAAAAATGCTAGCAAATGCTAGAAGTACTAGTAAATTTGTCACCCCGCCAAGGCCTAACTTCATAACTGGCAAATCTTCAAAAGCTACCATTCCCCCCTACTTTTCAATTACTAATAAAGGTTGAAAAGAAAATATAAGGAAACAATGAAAAGAAGGAAAAGGATAATAAAATTAGAGTGGCAAATTTCCTTTCTAGTGCCCGTATGGACTTGCGCTGACGGAGTTCATGACTTTTCACAAATGAATATGCGCGTAAACATTCTGTTATCCCTTAGCTATAAACACAGATGAAGTAACCAGCCGGTGCGACTAGGGGTGGGAAACATCGGTACATCCATCAAGCAAAAGAAATAAACAGATGAAAAAAAAAAAAAAAGAATTAAGTATCTTTATGTATTGGCAAAACCAGAATGAATGAAGACCAGTTTTCAGAATACAGCGATAAAATGAAGAAACTCAGACTGCAACGCAGCAAACTCCCCGGTGCGGATGTGTATTTTTGCGTTCAAGTTGCACCAGTCAGATCGTTGTAAGTGGCTTTTTTCTGTTGTATTTGGCTTTTTTTTTGGCTCATATTGGATGTACTTGGTTTTTTTTTTTGCATTCAAGAGGAGCAGAGTGTCAGCTAGGAAGATAGTTCGCATGGCGGGCCGCGTGGGCCTTCAGCGTGCATGATTGGCAATTTTGCATAGAGAAATGAAAAGTTTCTGGTGAGCGATCGTTCAGCGAAAAATGCAAATACAAGAACAGAATGTTGAGAATGATAACGAAATCCGCGAAATGCGCTCGCTTCTGAGTTTGTGGTAAAGTTGAGCATTTTTCATGCCCACGTGCAGGAAATTTCGCCTCCAAGCTAGATTTTGACCGTAGGCAAATGTAGAATATCCTTGTAAAGTCTGATCTCTTAGCTTGTCCGGTAGGCAAAATAGCCACTTCCCCACAAATGTATTTGACGTGACCCGTGCAGTGGCAGAACTGCAAATCGAAACTCGATTTATATATATGATTTCCTAGATGAACGGTATTCTGGTAAAATCTCAGCTAATGCTTTCCGGCAATTTTTAGACTTTGCTCGATGCCAACTTGTGAACTCTGGCATGGCCATGCGCATGACGCAAGTGCACACCAGCTGAATTTGAAATCTTTAGCTCATGCATGCGTACAGGACATCATATCAATGTGAAA